CACGTCCGAGGTGGCGGTTGCCAGCCTTTATTAGGGGACGGGATTCTTGGCTCGGGGTCTCCGCTTTTGTAAGCTTATGCTCTCTCTCTCTCTCAAGACGCATTAAAGCTTTACTGTAGAAGGATCTGAATGTCCTGTGTGGTTCTTGCTGACAAGACTATCGCGCGGGACAAAGTCTCAAGAAAGAGTATGTGTTGTGTCTACAGTCAGATAGTCAAGATGCACCTGACGATGCAGTACCTTGCTTGCTGTTATTCCCTTTGTAAAATATGACCAAGACAAAATGCAGCAGAAAAGAAACTCAAGTTGTCTTTCATTTCCCATTTCCCACTGCTCAAAACAGTCTAAAGGAAACCCCAGTCATGGTGTTGGAAGGTACACTTCCATAAAACAACCGTAAACCAAACCACCTATAAATCCATCTACAATGCTTACCTGCTTACATGATATGCTGGTGCAATAATGGCACAATATATGTAGGATCCAACAATCACTAACTGGATTTCAAGCACACTCCCTGTGATAGAATTCATACCTAACATTGCTTGTGTGTCCAAGAACTTGGCACTGGTTAGGGCATGTACTTGGCGAAAACCAAAGACTATTTTCCTACTATATAAATGTAGCCATATAATGACTCCTAACAACATTCTGCTATACCCATAGAACCGTGTTTTGCCCAGCCATCATCAAGAAAGCTCCCCCCTGCCATAGATGAGGACAAATACAGAAAAATGTAACTATACAATGTTCAGAGAGTAAGCAACCTTGAAACACCCAGTCCTAAAACGGATGTCTCCATAAAACTTTTTCCACAAGCTCTATGGAAACTTTATGGAAGAGGAGATGGAAAGATTGTAAGCACAAGCGGGAATGGAAGGCACTAAGGAAATAAGTACTTCCACACATAAGAGGATTGACTCATTTATGAATTTACAGAGATGGTGATGGCATGCACAGAACCTGCACAGGTCCAAGCCAGATGGGGTCTCCGCACTGAGAGGAAGTGAACATAATCTCTTATCCATTGCACAAAAGGTATTGCTAACTGACAGCTACTCACAAAGTAAAAATTAGTTTTTACTTTTCTCCAGTTGAATCTCAGTATACAAACTACACTTTGCGGCAGTCCCTGTGCCTTCAAACAGAACTCGATGGTATTTTTTAAGATTTTTCTGTCTTTTCAGTGTTGTGTCTAGGTATTTTTTTTTACCTAACTGGCCTTTTACTTTATTTATTATGGCATCTAATTTTGTGGGATTTTTTTTCAGGGGGAGGTTCCGGGGGTGTGTGTGTGTGTGTGTGTGTGTGTGTGTGTGTGTGTGTGTGTGTGTTTGTATGTGCATGTTCTCAGGTTTTTTCATTGATTTGTTTTTTGTGTTTGTTGTATTTTTTCTATTCCATTTTACTTGCCTGTTTGTTTTATAAAGAGAGAGAAGTTGGATATGGAAAAATATATTTTCAATAAAAAATTAGATACACACATACTTTTAATGTAATTGAACACTTAGGAAGTCAGAGTACAAGGAAAAGTATGTCCCACACAGAGGAGATGACACTGGGTTCTAGAGTTTTCCAAATGAATTCTTTGCAGACTCCTTTAAGTGGTTGTGCATTTCCCAAGCCCCTTCTCTTTAACTAACAGAAGATCTGGCTAATTTAACTTTTCTACTTTAGTGCATATTTTTAATTGGAGAAAAGAAGATACTGCTATCTACAAGTTGGAATTAATCAGCTGACTTAATTTACCTAACAGTCAATAAAGTCAGAGAGATAAAGTCAATTAGTAATGTATCAAGTATAACCTGAAGTTAAAAGCAGGACTTGAGTGACTGTTATTATCTTTAATGTCTTCCTCCTGCCACAAATAATACTTTCTCTAGTCTACTATATTTGAGAGTAAGGAATGATTGATTAGAATTTTTTAATTATTTCTTTTTGTGTGGGATTATACTATAATTGAATCATTTCCCCCTTCCCTTTTATTCTTCCAAACCTTCATATAAACCCTCCTTTCTCCCATTCAAATTCACATTAATTAAAATTCATTAACAGTTGTAATATCCAATGGGTATGAAAACGTCCAAGGATGTTTATGACATCCTTACTCTTCTTTTACCCTCCTTCTATATCTCCCTCTCCACCCTTATCAGGGCCCTCCACTTCCATTTTTTTTTCTCATTTCCACCATTAAATGACTTGAACCCTACTCTTCCTCTCTCTATTACTCCCCCACATCACCACTCTGGCAACAATTTCTTTCTGCTTTCTGTGTGTGCCTGTGTGCCTGTGTGCCTCAGTGTGTGTGTGTGTGTGTGTGTGTGCTCGAGCTCATGCAGATAATTCTAAATACATAATTCAGCCACTAAATCTCTATAATGTTACCTATATATGTGTTTTTAGGGCTGATATTTAGTTCTGAATAACCAATTGGTGTGTTGTTCCCCGGTGATACTCTTTTTCCACCAAAATCATTCCCTTATTCCTTTGTTAGCTGTAGTTGTTTGTTCAGGGCTCAGGACTCCTGAGGTTTCTCTAGTCAACTTTAGCTTGTTATTGTCATTGAGCTTATTCAGTTCATGCTGAAGCAGTCATGTTTGGAAAACTATGTTGATGTAACTACTGACAATTCCTCTGGACTTTCCAATCCTGACTCCTCCCACAAGACCTGACCCTTGTGTTTGGGACTTGTATTATAGATGTATGCCTTGGGAATGAGATCCACAACTCTGAATTTTGATTGGCTGTTGTTTTCTGTCTGTTTCAAAGAGCAATTTCCTTGAATAGCAGTGAGGACTACACCTACCTGTGGGTAGAAGAACAGATATTTAGAATGTAGTTGGGGTTATGCTTGTTTAGGTAAAATGGCAGTTGTAGGTTTGTCTACAAGATCCTTGACTTCACTAGCACTGAACATTGTCTCGGTTTAGTTCCCCTCTTAAGTACAATTAGAAAGCTCTCAGTTGCCACTAAGCATGCCACTACTGCACCATAAGGGTTCTTGTGCCATGCTGATTATTGTAGTGGTTCATAGGCATCATAGCTCTGTAGTACTTAGTTGGAAACTTGCCTGCTGACTTCCAAGAGATTGAGATCAAAAGATTGGTTTGGTTGTGATAACCCAAACCCCAAAAGACAAAAAAAGCTTACACTTTTTTTTTCATTTAATACTCCAAGTTCTAAGTTTTCAGAAGTAAGGAAATATCCTGGAGTCTCTGCAAAACTAGTAAAGTGAAAAAGAACTATGGCCAGAGTGGTGATGGGGGAGGCAATAGAGAGAGGATTCAATGGAAGAAAGGAATAAATGGGGGCAAAAGTGCTCTAATTATAGACAAGAGAGAAATATAGATACAGAGTAAGGAGAGTAAAATAACAGTAAGGATGTCTGAAAATGTCCACAAGGAATTGTATTATTAATTTCCTGAAAGTCCTGATAATACATGTAAGTTGGTATATAAGTATATATAGCTGGTTTAAATAAAATTTTCCATCTGGGATGACAGTTCTCACTCCAAGAGTCAAAGACCATCTAAAAAAAAAAAGAACACCAGGCAGGTATGAGAAGCTCTTTTGTGACCTGCTATTAGGATTTGTGCAAGGACTTCCAAATATGTATAGGCTATGGCTATTGCTACTGTTGTCCCCTATAAGTGGAAAGGATGCCCCTATTGCTGAGAACACCATGCACTTCAGACACAAGTATCAGAGGCTCATAAATCAATGGAAAAATGTATTAGGCAACTGTGCTGACTAGTTTTTATGTCAACTTGGCAAAGGCAACAGTCATTTTGAAGGAGACAAACTCAGTTAGGAAAATGATTTCACCAGAATGAGCTGTAGTTTTTTCAATTGATTGATCTTTGATATGGGTGGGCCCAGATTACTGTGGATGGTGCCATACCTGGGCTGCTGATCCTGGATCTTATAAGAAGTCAAGGTGGGTAAATCCTACTTATAAGCAAACTTATAAAGAGCAACCCTCTGTAGTCTCTGCATCAGTTCCTGACTTCAAGAGTCTCCGTTGAGTTACTACCCTGACTTCCCTAGATTAGGACTTTAGCTTTTAAGATGAAAGCAACTCTTTCCTTCACAAGTTGCTTTTGGTCATAGTCTTTTACCACAGCTACAGAAGCCTTAATTATAACAGCAAGACAATAATCAATAGATGAAGATACTAAGATAATAGTGTATACTGAGGGTAATTTTATAGTAACAAATAAAGCTTATATAGGAATATATTACTCTATGCAGGATGAAATGTTAGAAAATAGCAGAAGATATTTTTCAAATATGTCAAAGAAATATTAAAACAGATGAATTATAGTACCAAATGCAAGTTAAGATTAAGCAAGGATGGAGGTGTGTAGCGTCATACTCAAATTTCATTGTGCTCAAGACTGGGATAGAACAGGAACATTCCTTCCCAGGGGCATCCATGCATACCTCTTAGGGTCCTTCTTGTTACCTAGCTTCTGGAGCTGTGGATTGTAGTCTGAATATCCTTTGTTTACATCTAGTATCCCTTCCCATGGGAGTCCTTAACATTTCTGAGGAGTGGAAAGGGGCAGGCAGAGGGTAGGTGGTAGGTGGGAGAGAGGGTGGGGGAGAGCAGGGGAATTATGGTTGGTATATTAAAAACAGAGAATCAAGGAAAAAATAATGGAACACTCAACCAGGAGAACTTAATTAAAATAGACCATTCTTTTTTATTTTTCTTTTTTGGTATTAACCAAAATAGTACTTTGATTGCAAGAACACCAGCAGCAGGCGTGGTCCCTAAAAAGGTCAAAATGTGTTGGCACTCTGGGACCTTATGCCCTCATGACCTACCAAAACATTTTTACCTTACCATGTCATCATCTAGCTAAAGGGACATTTTAAAATGTAGTAGAAATCAACTTCAGTCTTGATCCTCCTTCTGACAAAATGATTCCATTCCAAAGGACGGGATTTACTTACAAAGGAAATCTCAATATTTACTAAAATTTGATAAATTTGATGTGTGTGTTTCTAGTGTTAATTGTTTGTTTTCACTACATTATTACCTTTTCCTGAGACATTTCTATTCTCTTAAGCATCAAGATAATCACATATTCATTATATTTTAATAAGTTAACAATCAGGTACTCCAACTACTCATTGTAAGTTTCATGCTATATAACATTTCTATAAAACACATGGAGGCTAAATCAGTCTGAACAGTTGTACAAAGCATGGCTGTATTATTATGAACTCTTATTATTCCAAAATGAAAATGTGTATAATATATCACATATAGATATTAAACACAATGAAAATTCTTGATAAAGAAAACAGATTCTATTATTCTTTGCATATATTTCACATTTGTGTTCATAAAGTTTAAAGATGAAAAGATAATTCATATAAAATATAATACATAATACAGATAGTTTGACTGAATGTATTTTGACTTTGGTGCTCAAAAAAGAAATTTTAAGAAAGGATATTAAATAGCATGTTTGCCAAGGAAATGCTGAACACTGTAGTAATAATCCAACATTAAGCGAGTGATGAAAAAATGGAAAAGGGCATTGTAGTTTTAAAACTAAATGGATTGTATTACTTTATCTCATTTCCAATTCTAACAGTTCTATCGTCTTAAGATCTCTATTCATCTCAAGAAAATGTAATTACCTTGTACAGAATTTATCTTGTACATTGTGGTTTCAATTTAAATGTTTAAGCCTTCACACTTCTTTGTCCTAACACCAATGTAAACCTGCAGAATGTATTGATACAAACCTTTCTTGTATGGTAATATCTCAATTAAAATTCAGGCATACCGACCATAAATATCTAAGTCACATCAACTAAATGTTAAACTCCTCTAGCTTTTTCTTTTCTGTTTTACTTCTCCTACTGCCTGAAATATGTTAAGATCTGTTAGAAATATTAAGGAGACATAATTGATTACATGTACTGTCTAAAGAAAAAAAAATGTTTAGGATGATTCTCAAATGCCAATCTTGAATAATTGAGCAAATGTAATTTCTGTGATGAATAAATACCAATGACATTATGATTAGATTTTCATTCTAGAAAAGTCAAAGCTATCAGAGCAAAGAGGAGATCAGTGGTTGCTAGGGGTTAAGAGTGGGGAGAGATTTAACATAAAGGGCAGCCTGGGGGAGGTTTTGGTGGTTCTGTTTTTGTTTTGTTGTTTCTTTTAAAAAATGTTTAAATTATTATTTCGTATATTGATTAAATGTTGCTTGTGTGTTTATTCTCAATGATAAAAATGGATGAACTATATACTAACAAACAGAATCATACTACATGTAACATAAAAATTAAATAGAAATAGAGTACAAAATTAACTAGAAATAGAGTAGCTAAAATTCTCATTGTTCAATGCTGTATTGTTTTAACAGGAGACATATCCTAAAAATTAAAATAATGTTGGAAAATTACTTAGGGAAAATGAATGAAATTAATGTAGAACTAAATTAAAAATTAGTACATAGCAAGGAAAGTAATATTGCTGCAGATAAGAAATGTGAATGAAGATAACAACACAAAATCAAAATTCAGAGGTATGTGGAGAGGGCCATGCCCATTCCTTCACCATGCATAGTGACTAGAAATGACTTCTTCATTTCTACTTCTAAGCATGCAGAGTATATTTTCCAAGTAATACCTTGTATTCTTAGGCTTGCTATAAATTATGATTTTCAGGGTTCTGTTCTCAAGTAAGCAGCTCAGACAAGTATGCTAGTACACAGTTTATAGGTCAGACAAGTGTGCTAGGACACAGTTTATAAGTCAGATAAGTGTGCTAAGACACAGTTTATAGGGAAGGAATGGCATTGAGCCCTGGGCTCTGTTATATGAATGTGCCCTATTGAATTAGTTTACCAAAGGACCTGGGATTATGACAACCAAGTCAACAGTCAGCCCTGGGACTTAAGCACATTATTTATACCTATCATCAGCAAAAGTTAGAAAACTGGTCCTGTCTTTCCTAATAGACAAGATCATGAATCAGCAGCAGTCTGGGGTGGCTAATTCTAATTTTCTTCCATTACTTCTCCACCATATTTTGCTTTATACTCACCACCACTCCTAGCCTCATTATCATTGCTTTTGGAACACCATAAATAAAGGCATCATGTCCATTTACAAATTAGTCCATGACTGATTCCCCATCTAGAGAAGTCTTCTTTCCTTCTATCCCCATCTCCAAGCAACCCTTCTAAAATGAAGCACTGTAGACCTCAAGGTCGACCATCAACAAATAACTTTTAAATTTGATGCTCACTGTTTTCATGAAAGTGTCTGTCCTTTGAGTCTTATCTGAACTTTGATTTTCCAAGGGCATTGATTTATTTCTTTAATATTCTTCTTGAGCCTCTTCTGCCTCAGGACCTAGAAATAGGTAGATGGCCTTTTTAGTGCTCATTGATATCTAATAATATCCATCTGTTTTAAGTCTTGTAACACCCAGTTGTGAATACCTCCTTTATAACTATTAAATTTTATACTTGTTCTAATTATTGATGGTTTCACTTTTCACATAGAATTGAACATGCTCATTTCTTAAATTCTTGAGTTTATTAGTCCATGATTTTATCATTCATCAAATAACATCTTTATCTTGCCATATTGAGAAATAATCACTCCTCATTCTCAATTTAGCTTGAATCCATTTATCCTATAAACAATTCACTATTGCCCATTCCTCTCTCTCTCTAGAGTTTAACCTAGTGTGAAACAATCGAAACTCACTATAGAAAACATTGTCCTGCATGTTTCACAACAGTTTCAGCTATCTTTTTTTTTTTATCAGTTCCAGCTCAGTATCTCTTAAGACTAATGTGACTGGAGGAAAAAAAAAGCCATGATTGCTGGTTTATTATTACCACAACCTTAGGCTCTTCATCCTACCTATGAGTAATGCTGTACTTATCTGGCCCATTTTCCCACCTATGACCTCTTTTCCCCAAATTTCCAATACTCACAACCTAGCTGATGAAATTTGATTTCTACATCAAGAAAATGGGAACAATAAAAATGAATTTTGGAGAACTGAATTCACTACATTTATAGATGGATTTCAATGCTCCAAGATAAGAAATCTTACTTACTAAAACACAGAAAATTGCTTTCAGTAATTTTCCCCTCTTTCTCGAGTGTCCTTTCTACTGAATAATCCTATCCATATGCAACAAGTAAATATTCAACTATTTAAAGAAAGTGATTAAGAAAATTCCACCCAGCTATTTTCCCTATTTTATTCATTTCATGCCTCTCTGGAGTAGTCTCTGCTATGTACTCTTCTATTTCTTTTTTCCTGTTCTCTTAAACTGTGTTAATGCTGGTACTATTACTTCAGGGAAGACATTACTAACTTCTCCAATGCCATTCATTTGACAATTATGATAACCATTCCTCAGAGCTCATTATATTTAACCGATTAGAATTAATTGGAACTTCAAGATGCCATTGCTTTTTTTGACTGAGTAGTACCACATTTTGTAAATGTACCACATTTGCTTTATCCATTCTTTGGTTGAGGGGCTTCTAGGTTGCTTTCAGGTACTAGCTATTACAAATAATGCTTCTATGAACATGGATGAACATATGACGGTGTATATTCATCATTTGGGTATATGCCTAAGAGTGGAATTGCTGGATCTTGAGGTAGACTGATTCCCATTTTCCTCAGAAACCATCATACGATTCCAAAGTGGCTGTGCAAGTTTGGATTCCCACAAACAATGGAGGAGTTTTCCCTTCTCCACATCCTCTCCAGCATAAATTGTCATTGGTGTTTTTGATTTTACCCATTCTGACAAATGTAAGATGGTATCTCAGAGATGTTTTGATTTGCATTTCCCTGATGGTTAAGGATGTTGAGAAATTTCTTAAATGCCTTTCTGCCATTTGAGATTCCTCTATTGAGAATTCTCTACTTAGATCTGTACCCCATTTTTAATTGGATTATTTGGTGTTTTGGTGACTAGCTTCAATGACATCTTGAAATTCGAAAGCAAATGGATAAATGAGAAAAAAAAAAAAAACATCCTGAGTGAGTTGACCCAGACATAGAAAAGAAAACATGGTATCTATTCACTCATAAGTGAATATTAGGCATAGAGCAAAGGAAAACTAGCCTTTTGGGGTTCACAACCCCAAAGAAGCTAGGAAACAAGGAGGACGCTAAGAGAGACATGCATGTACAACCCGAGAAAGAGAAGGGGACAAGATCTCCTGAGTAAATTGGGAGCACTGCGGGGAGGGGAAGGAGGCAGAAGAAAAAAAGAGGGGAGAAGAGGAGCAGGGAGAAGAATATAAGGGATCAGGTAGGTTCAGTTGGGGAAAAACAGAGGAGAGCAAGGAAAGAGGTACTTTAATAGAAGGAGACATTATGGGCTTAACGAGAAATATGGCACTAGGGAAATATCAAGGTATCCACAAGGATGACCACAACTAAGAATATAAGCAATAGTGGAGAGGCTACCTAAAATGCCCTCCCTCTATAATGAGATTGATGACTACCTTAAATGCCATCATAGAGCCTTCATCCAGTGGCTGATGGAAGCAGAAGCAGATTCACAGCTGAGCACTGACCTGAACTTCTGGAATTCAGTTGTAGAGAGGGAAGAGTGATGAGCAAAGAGGTCAATACCATGCTGGGAAAACTACAGAAACAGCTGACCTGAACAAGTAGGAGCTCATGAACCCCAGTCTGGAAGATGGGGTACCAGCATAATACCAAACCAGCTCCCTAAATGTGAGTGTTAGTTAGGGCTACTGGATAGTCTATGGGGCCTCTGGTAGTGGAACCAGTATTTATCCTCAGTGCAGGAATGGGCTCCAGAAGCCCATTCCTATGAAGGGATACCCTCTTAGCTTAGATACATGGGGGGAGGGACTAGGTACTGCCTCAAATGACGTGTGAGACTTTAGTGATCCCTGTGGGAGGCTTCACTCTCCCTGAGGAATGAATAGGGGATGAAATGGGGTTTGGTGGGAGGAATGGGAGGACAGGAAGGAGAAAGAACTGGGATTGGAATGCAAAATAAGCTTGTTTTTAATTTAAATAAAATTTAATTTACAAAGGTGCATTTTGAACAATTATCCATTGTCATCTAAAAATTCTCCCTTGCCTTCCTCTTTAAAAAAAACATCATTACTTTATCTAGTAGAGAGGGATTTATGGATTTGCCATAGCAAACAGGTGGAAGTTAGAAGACACTTGGCTGGAGTTGTTGTCTTCCACCATGTAGCTTCTTAGGATTTAACTCAAATCATCAGGCCTAGTAGAAAGTGTCTTTACATGTTAAGGCATCTTGCCAATCATCTAGCTTCTTTAATACAGGCTCTACAGTGTCATACTCTGCAATTTCTTCTGCAAGTCCATTCAAAATCTTGTGTCAATTTATTTTTCTTATATTTTTAAAAACACTTTTGAGATTATAATATAAAATTACTACATTTCTCCCTTCACTTTCCTCCCTCCAAATAATCCCATATATTCCCTCTTCTCTTATTCAAATTCATGGCCTTTTTTCCATTATTGTTATTATATTTATATATGAATACACCTATATATTTTTGGACATAACTTGGTCAGTCTATATAATTTATTGATTTATAAACACTTACAGAGCAACTTATTTAATCTCTGTCCCCTATGTCTAGAAATACTTCATGGTTCAATCATTTACGGCATCACTCATTTTATGGCTTCATAACATGTTTATACTGATAACTAAATTTGTATCTTCTTTGATTTATCATAAATTGAAGGCCCACATTTTTTCGAGAGTTTGTAACTCAAATTTTGATGCATCCAAACTGATCTCTGCTATTCCACTAAAGTTGTGCCATATACAGTCCTCTTCATTCTCCTTCAGAGCAATGTCTCTCTTCCAGTTGTTCAAATTGCAAATTGCATTGTCATTGTTTACTGGTCATTTTCTCAATACTATATATAGTCTGATAAGAAATTTTATGGTCTTAATCACTAAAATATAGTCACAAGGTTGTACTGATATATTATTTCCTTTCTACCTCTTTTCCCAAGTGTTTTTAGTTATAGCATCCTTCATCATGATTGTCAATTAAGCCTCCAATCAGTGCTACCATCTTTTTAGTCAACTCTCCACATAGCATGAGACTTATTTCAATAGAACCTACTTTATGTTATACTATAACCTGCCTGAAAATCTCCAGTAGTCCTCCAGCTCAAAATAAAAGCTGAATCACCCATTGGTCTGAAAGGATCAAAGACAGTTTCTGATTGATGAAGAACATTTGGAAAAGTGGATAAATTAATAAATAATACGTGATTAAACTATATAACTATGTTCACAAGGCTCATCAGTTATGACACTGGATTGTAATCATGGTTTGAAATAACAATCCCAAAACTTATTATCTATGATTGACATCTTTTATGTAGTTACCATGTATGATAAAGAATAAACTGAGAATTTTTGTAAAATAGTCAGAAACCAGGGATATGGGTGTGAGAATCATAAAAAAAGGTAAAACTTTAAACTTAAATGGGTTAGTAATCAGATGTTTATTTCTCATGGTATAGATCTATATGTGTGATCTAGGTGGTTTAAGAACTTGCTTTTTAGGCTAGAATGGCCTCATCCAGACATGAGGTTTCCGTTGTTTTTAGATCAGAAGGAAAGGAAACATAAATTTGTTTAAAGCTTTTGTTGTTGTTCTTTTATGTTTTTGTTTGAAACACAATAATTATGCTTATTAATAATATAATGATAATATGATATTTAAATTCACATGTACTTCATGTGATCTTCAAAGAAATTCCATTGTGATATCTGCCACCTTAAATGTTGGTTATTCCTTCTTTTTTTTCCTTTTTGAGACAGGGTTTCTTTGTGTAACAGCCCTGGTTGTCCTGGAACTTGCTTTTTAGGCTAGAATGGCCTCAAACTGAGAGATCCACATGCCTCTTCCTCCCAAGTACAGGGATTAAAGACATACACCACCACCGCCTTGCTATTTCTTCTTTATGGTGACTACACTGTTGTTAACTATGCTCATTCCTTGTGACATCTAACTAAAACATGTGCTTAAAGACAAACTTCTTCACTTTCCTCTCTCAGAGGACACATGGGTGATAACACATGATGCTTTTCTTTGTATGTCTTGCTTATACAATGTGATCCAGGGCTGTCACTGTTGTCATAAGTGATGATATTGTTTCTCTTTGTGGCTTAATACTGTCCTATATGCATGAACTGCATTTTCTGTGTCCATTTACTCATGGTTGGACTTTAGCTAAGTTAATGATGTCATTGTGCCAAATGCTTGGAGTTTCCTTAAGCACCTAAAAATAGAAATATATTATCTCATAATCTCATCATTAAGTGTATACCTAAATT